TAACGTGGCAGTGCTCACGATGTGCAACTTGTTGCACAAAAAAAGTATCACTTGGGAGTATTCTACCAATACCTTTCAAATTAAAAAATGAAGTGGTTCAAAGAGATGAGGGTATGAAGTATGGGCACGAAGAGATGATTGGGGATAGCATCTTCCTGAAGCATAATGCCCACACCTCATGTATTGAAGCCTTCTACCACAGGTGATACTGAGTTCACTCCAACTTGATGACAGGATGGCAGGAAAATGTCACAAGCCAAATACATAGAGATATAATTGTCAATAACGTTATCCCCAATATATTACATGCAGGGCTCTCATATGACGTGCTGTATGATTGTAGTGTTTCTAGTTTTTGAGTTAGAACTTCATATTCAAAACTTTTTGTGACTGTCTCATCTAATATATGTATAGATAATCGTGACTGAGTGATGCTAATTCTAACTATGTTCTAGATAAGGAATCCTGAAATCTGTTACATGTGTAATTATTGAGCTGCTGAGTTCAAGAAAAATCTTGCTGCTGAGATACATCCCCTTAAGGGCAGGTTTTTTGTGCAAGATCTTTTTTCTAAAGACATTTTCACTCCAGGGAAACAGGCAAATGGAGAAGCTGAAAATTGGTAAGCTTGTAGTTATTGGTGTACTCATTTCAATAAAATTTTATTTTTGATGTACATATCCTAAGGGCATTTTTTGGGGGGAGCAGAGCACATTTTCAGAAAATTGTAAACTGACAAAATGGAGATACTAGCTGAGAGAGGGCTGAAACTTAGCATATAGGTAACTGTTCAGATGCAAACCTCAGGAGAAATACTTTCTGAATAACTTCCCTGGGGACATACCTTTTTTAGGAGGCATTTTCCAATATATAATTTTCCTAGCAAAACAGGCGTATATAGAAAGCTGAAATTCCATAAATACATACTCGTATGAGAACACATTTCAAGGAAAATCATACTTTTGTGGTACATCTGATGGGGGTGAAAATTCTTACATAGGGTAGGTGAGACAAACTCTGACCCTGCCATAAAATCCCTCCCCTACATCACATAATTCAACTTAACAAAAAACCCAATAAACCCTTTTCAACCAAATTACATCAATGTACTCCCAAGTACATCCTCTGTGCTAGAAACATAATCTCACCATCAGTGACAGAAATCGCTCTCTGTCATTAGCACGAATGCATGGATGGTTGGAAGGCACTCTGGTTAATGTGAAGTTTCTTATAAAATTTCTCGGGTATTCTAGGAGGTTTTGATGAATGTGACAGATATTGTTATAGTTAAAAAATGTATAACTCACTTTTCTGAGTTTGAGATAAGACCAGTCAGGATATTTGGAGCTCAAGCTCTGAAAATTTTGCTCGAATATCAAGAACTTTGGGGGGTGGACTTGCACTCAGAATTTAAACCTAAAATCTAAGTCAGACCCCTCGGGTCAGAATTTGAGACGTAAGTTTTCATCAATGTTCCACATTCCATCCCATTATATGTAGTAATCCTTAGATCAAAAATGGGCAATAAGAACTTACAGTACACAGCAAAGCAGCTTCAGGCTGCTTTGGAAGCATGTCGAAGCCTTGGGTCCATAGAAAGCATCCAAAGACTTTGGAGTTCCCAGAACAACTATAAAGGATAAGCTGAAAGGGCGATACGGTGACAACTGCATGTGTCAGACCGTCAGTTTTGATGCAAGCAGAAGAGGAAATCGTGAAATGGGTTCTTGAGCTCGCTCAGAGGGGATTTCCCTGAAAAAAGGAGGACATCTTGGACAGTGTTCAAGCCTTTCTTAATGCTGATGGAAGAGAAAATCCTTTTCCTGAAAACCGTCCTGGGAGAGGATGGTTTCGTTTGTTCCTTGGCCACTGGAAAGAACTTTCACGAAGAACTTCTGAGCCAATATCCAAAGCCAGGGCACTCTTGCAGGAAGATTTGCGAGGTTGGCTTGCTGAGTTGGAGAAGTTCATTGAACGACACCTTGAGGATGCAGTGAAAGACCTGAGAAGAATTTTTAATGTTGATAAATATGGATTTCAATGTTCAGGCACTGGTATGGTCATTGGCCCATGAGGGGAAAAAAATGTGTACACGACCGCACCAGGGTCCAAAAAGGAGCAGTTGACTGTTTTGGGAAACATGTCAACAGGTGGAACAGTGGCTCCACCAATGATCATCTTCTCCCTTCAGAGGATTTCCAAGGTCCTGGCACAAAGTGTCCCACCAAATTGGGGGATCGGGAAGAGTAAGTCAGGTCGGATGTACTCTGACATACTTTATGAATACATGAGCAATGTGTTTGTGCCATACCTTGAAAAGAGTGGAACCTCTCGCCCAGTTCTGCTGTTCCTAGATTGACATAAATCCCACATCAGCCTACAACTCAGTGTGTTGTGCTGAGAAGAAAAAACTAGTTGTTCGCTCTTTATTCAAATGCCTCACATATCATTCATCTACTTGATGTCGCCATTTTTGGGCTGATGAAAAAAAAAGTGGAGGTCTATTGTGCACAAGTGGCAGGGTGAGAATCCCAACAAGATGCTGGCATGAAAGGACTTTGGGCAGCTCCTGGAAAGGTTTTACAAGGGAAACACTTGACAAATGTCATTCATAGTGTATTCCAAACCTGTGGACTCTTCCCGCTCTCACCTGATGCAATCAACTACAGTAAGTGTTGAAAGAAGTCTCTCATCCCAGTTGAGAACGAGGAACCTGAGGAGGTAAGGGTCATGTCCCTCAAAGATTTCAAAAGACTCATGGATCCACATGTTGTCACGAAGCTAGAGAGGAGACGTTCTTGAGGATGATCCAGCGCTCTCCGTCCATGTCACAGCTCTTTGGAACTTTTTCACCAAAGCAGATCACCACCTCCTTGAAGGGTCATTGTGGAAGATGACTTTCTACCAGCTGAGCAGCCCCTCATAGATGGAGGTCTTCGATCAACTGAGGTGCCCCTCGAGGATGAAGATGTACGCACAACAGAGGGGGAGATATCCCTCCATGAGGAATCTGAGGCACCATGCGGAACTGTGAAGTTGACTCATTTCCTACCATGGCCACCTCCATCAAAGAAAAAATTAGATCCTGTTTCCCTAGAACATCCTTGTTGACAGCCCTCTGGCCTGACTTTGATCGGGTGGATGACATTGATTGAAAGCAGGGAAGCAAAGAAACAAAAAGAAGATGAAGAGAAGCAGCAGAGAATGAATTATAAAAAGAAAAAGCTGCCCAAAAGAAGGAAGACATAAGAAGCACTTGAGAGAGGAGATGGCAGAAACGAAGGAAAACTCAAACGCTAGACATGTCAAGAGAAAGAAGAAAACAGGAATAACTGAATGAATGACAATGACGAAATCGTCATAGCCTAGCATATTCAAAACAAGAATCTTCCTGAAAGTCTGAGTTCTTCAAAATGATGAAATAATACGTGCTTCATTTGCCAAGTGCTTAATTTATTTTTAAATCTCTCGAATGTATTTTGTTTATTTTCATTTGTCCAGAAGAAAAAAAATAAACTTGATATGTGTGGAGCACCATGATGATCATTTTATAATTGGCCATATCAGGCATTCGATTGTGAGGTTCAAGCAATTCAATTAGACCCCCATAGGCCACATGGTTGTAGGGGTCATGATAAGTAACATTTGGGATTGGAATTGGAAGAAAATGTGACAGGTTCATCTCTTCTTCTCCCAAATTTCATGACTGGTCTTGATGTATGATCCATGAACATGAATGTGTAGTGTGTAAATTTTCCTGTCAAGTGGTATAGGTCCGAAAGCCCTTGAATTGAAAATGTTGGCAATGGGTGGATTTAGATTTAAAAAAAAGAACTTCTTAAGGGGGTTGGAATTTGTCTCACTTACCCTAGAAACTTTGCAATAAATTTTTTCATTCCAGTGAATCAGGCAGCTTTAGAAAGTTGAAACTTAATATACAAGTATTTCACCTGAGCATTTACTTGGCTTTCATTGTTTTGATGTCATCAACATTCATGTATTTTCATACTTAAGTTTGTACTATCTTTTTCATGCTGTTCTGTTTTAGCATGAAGATTATTGTCATTCTTGCATATGTCTCTATTAAAGGTGGAGTTCCTTACAGTTATAATTAGAATTACTCCAGCATTTTTTACATTTGAGATAAATCTAACTGAGCTTGCCTAGCCTAACATTAAGTTACATTCAATCAAGACCGATGGGAAAAAGAAAGATGAGATAAAAATGAATTTTCCCATGGTGATTAGCTATGATAAGATGTTTTGTTGAGGGATTTCATTTTACATTGAAGCAAGCATTGTTTTACAAGTTGTTTGATTTATAGTACAGTCAACCTTCATTATATTGCCACATGGTATAGTGCCACACTTGCTTATATCCAACCGTTTCCTATGGACAAGTCTTCCTATTAACTTCTTAAGCTAGTAATAGAGTGTATAGTTAATTTGATTTAGCTCCAAAATCAGCAACGATCAACTGCAGGGTTATATCAAGGGTTGGAGGTTTTCATTTTGCAACTGTTGCCTATCCAATGAAGATCATAAGTATCTGACTTGAAGCTTCAAAATTCCCATATTAAATAATCCATAGATAAGATTTTAGCATGGAAATATTAATAGCTTAGTGTATTACACTCCAAATTTTTTCATGTGAACCACTGTAGTGGTAGGTGCTGGAGTGTATAGTTGGAATCTCCCCTCTGGGGTAGAACCAAGGTAGAGAACAAATTAAACTTTTCATCTGTTCCAATCTCAGGGGACACTGTAGGAGCAGATAGGTAAATAATTGATGGTTGAGGTGTTGTTTTCCATGTTTAGATTTGGTTTTTATCACTTTGACCACCAGAGCTGCTACTCGACCCTTGTTTTGACATGCTAGCATGTCACATGAGTCAATGTGTTATTCCTGTAATTTAAGATTAAAGTGAATATATATGTTTTTGTTGGAATTTATCCACCCTCTCCTTTTTTCATGCCTGAACAGATCCAGCTGCCTCAGTGATGTCAGAACCTGCGAAAATTGACAACTGTCATTCAACTATCAACAAACTGGCCCTCATCAGTGTTTCAGACAAGACTGGAATATTGGATTTTGGTAGGGAGCTGCACTCATTGGGTTTTGCACTCATTGCCAGTGGGGGGACTGGTAAGGCTCTGCGAAGTGTAGGAATACCTGTCCGTGATGTATCTGATCTGACTGGATTCCCTGAATTGATTGGAGGCCGTGTCAAGACACTGCACCCAACCATCCATGCAGGGATCTTATGTCAAATGACTAAGAGAGATCTAGATGACCTGAAGTTACATGGTATTCAACCCATCTCTGTAGTCGTCTGCAACCTGTATCCTTTTGAAGAGCTGGTGAAGAAAGCTGGTGTATCTATTGAGGAAGCAGTTGAGAACATTGACATTGGAGGGGTCACTCTTCTTCGTGCTGCTGCTAAGAATCACACCCGTGTCTTGGTTGTGTGTGATCCTGCTGACTACAAGATTGCATATGAAAAGCTTGTTGAAGATGAGTGGCCTGAGAAAGGGCTGGGCTTCCGGCAGCAGATGGCAGTCAAGGCTTTCCAGCACACATGCAATTATGACAGGTGCATTTCACAGCACTTTTCTAAGATCTTCAATGTTTTCAGAGGAGAGAAGGAGTTGAGGTATGGCATGAATCCACATCAAAAGCCAGCCTTCATCTGTCCTCCTGAGGGTCTTTCATCTTTGCCTTTTAGTGTCATCAATGGTGATCCAGGTTACATAAATTTATTGGATGCTCTAAATGCATATCAACTGGTTTATGAGCTGTCTATGATCTCAGAAGGCCAGTTCCCAGCTGCTGCTTCATTTAAACATGTTTCTCCAGCTGGAGCTGCTCTGGGCCTCCCACTTTCTGTAGATGAAGCAAAAGTCTATTTGGTGGATGACATGATGCTTGAAATGACCCCAATGGCTGCTGCTTATGCACGTGCTCGGGGTGCTGATCGCATGTCCTCATTTGGTGACTTCATTGCCCTCTCTCATCTCTGTGATGAAGCAACGGCAAAAATCATTGGAAGAGAAGTCTCAGATGGTATCATTGCTCCATCTTATTCCAACACTGCTCTTGAGATCCTTAAGAAAAAGAAAAATGGGAAGTTTGTTATTTTGTTGATGAAAACTGAATATATGCCACCAGAAATGGAAAGCCGGACTGTTTATGGTCTCACACTAGCACAAAAGCGCAATGATGCTCTTATTGATGAGTCATTATTCTCTTGTATTGTGTCAGACAAGAAAGCTTTGACCCCAGAGACCAAGAGAGATCTTTTGATTGCTGCAGCATCTGCAAAGTATACCCAGAGCAATAGTATCATCATAGTATACAATGGACAAGTAATTGGGACAGGTGCTGGTCAGCAGTCCAGAATACACTGCACTCAGCTTGCTTGCCAGAAGGCACTCAACTGGTGGCTCAGATTCCATCCAAAAGTTTTGTCTTTGAAATTCAAGGCAGGGGTGAAGCGGTCAGTTAAGTCCAATGTTGTGGAGAGCTTTCTGGCACAGCAACTGGGTGAAATTACTTCCTTTCTTGAAGAAGAGCCCATCATGATTACCTCAGATGAAAAGGCAGAATGGAAACAAAACCTAAAGGGAGCCTCACTCTGCTCAGATGCCTTCTTTCCATTCCGAGACTGTGTTGATCTTGCCTCTGAATATGGTATTGAGAATGTTATCAGTCCTTGTGGGTCTGTGAATGATGAAGAGGTCATCAAGGCAGCCAATGAGCATGGGATGGTTTTCGTCCAGTCCAAATTTCGTCTCTTTCATCATTGATCTCCAAAGGAACCAAGTGTCTTTCTAGCAAATGATCTCACTGGTAAAAATTGCAATGAGATCTTAGTGTGCAAATTGATTGGAAGCCTATATTTTTCTGTGAAGTTATTTCCAGTGTTTATTATTTTTGCAGCTATTTTGAATACATAATGTTACAGCAAGAGAAGACTCAATTCAATGTTTTATGCCATCATAATATGTTGTGGTCAGATAAGAATTTTTGGAACACAGGAGTCTCAAGGCCTATCTTGCACTCATGTTAGATCTCAGTATGTTTCACTAACCTAAAAAAGAATTTTAACTCATTTAAAAAAAAATACAGCAAAACCTCATTAATTTGATATCAGATAGTTTGAAGCATCATGTATCTCAAAATCATCAGCATTCTCTGTCTAATAGGATAGCAATCTGTATGCTTTATAAAAATGGATCATTTTAAATTCTAACATTTTTGGTCCTCTGAGCTATTAACTCATGCAAACATGCTTCTTTAATTCAAAGGACATTACCCCCTGTCACTGACATATTACTTCCTGTCCCAACCCTTGCATTCCAAGTGGCTGAAAAGCTAGCTTATCACCTTGGGAACTACACATTTTCATTCAGAAGATTTCTTAACATAGACTAACACTCACTCTCACCCCCTCTTTGTGACATAATTTTGTCTCCTGTTGATGTGGCAACATTGCCCCTGTAACATATCTTAATTATTGACACCACTGTGTTTTGTGTAATTACAGTTGTGTAAACACAATAATTGAACGTGGGTTTTTCTTTGTGTTTGCTTACACTATTTTTTTCTTCAATATTTTGGGTTTCCATTATTACACTGTTTTATGGTAGTCAGGGGGTGTCTGAGTTGAATTAGGTAGCATAAAGTAACAGATATAGGTATATCAGATAATTTGAACCCATTTATTTTGAAGTTAGCATTTTTTCATCCCCTGAATTTTGAATTAATGAAGTTTTTCTGTAATTCAGCTTGGATGGTATGGTATATCAAGATTATCCAAGTAAGCTAATCTCAACCTTGTGGCATGTATAGTGCTGCAAAGCTGGATTCAGATCCAGCTAGAAAGGTGTTCACCTAATAGATACAATTATCATTGGATACAGAGTAGTGTGGTCAAATATAAAAGAGTATATCAAGTATTCCTTGTATCCTACTATTGTGGATGAAAGGAAGGGATTTTGCTGTAACTCAGGCATGCCAATTTGCATTTGCTGCAGTGAGTGAGCTTGCATTGCTTGAAATCCTTATATGAGGTACTTTTCACAGAGAACCACTTTGGTGGAATCTTATGATTTTGCAAAAGACAAGAAAGTTTGCCAGCAAACAAGGGCATTTTTGCATTGTAGTAGAATAAGTACCAGTATCTATTGCAGATGTGGGAAACCATATATTCCTTCACATTAGTTCCCTGTAGAGTTTTACAATTCTTTTACTTTTTGCAATGATCATTACCTTGACCAAAAGAATGCAAATTAAGGGGTGCAATACTGCAGGGTGGCTCACAGAAATGTTCCAGGTTTTTGTCATCAATATTTTATCCACAAAAAAAGGCTTGATGCAAAAAGCAGCAGATAGAGCAACTTTCAAGATTTTTCAGACATGGGGGGGCAGAAGGGAGTGGAAAATCAAAGCACTGACAGGTCTGTTTCACAGACTGCATAGTTCATCAAATAACAGGTTTTAACCAAGGGGTTCATATAGCAGAAAATTGCTTCTCAAACAGAACCTATTGCACTGGCTAAGATAATGATTCTTATTCAGATTCTTATTCAGGTGAGGGTTGTGAGACATCTCACTCATTGTAAAACTGTAGCTGTGTCTGGCATATAGCAATTGTGCAATGAAACTTCCATGTTTTACCAGCATTAATTGAAGGTGGTCTCCCATGTATTCAATCAAATGTGAGAGAAAAGTATTGCCATTGGATTAATGGGAAATACTCCAGTATCACTACTTTCAGTCATGTTCCTGACAAGAAAGGAATTGCAAGAAGGACCAGCAGCAGAAAACTAAAGGAAGCCACTTTGCATGAAGCCATGCCTCCTGGTTTCAGTATGGAAATTGGAAGCTAGGTATAATGTTATATAGCACTAGGCCTTTACTGCACACTGAAACATTCTTGAATGGTGCTGTGGATATACAGTGGAGGTATGTATGATGAGAATTCCCTAGAATTTACATTTTTAAGCTATAGATTGATTGATGATGGTTTGGAAGTCAGAAATGCCATACCCATTTAACCACTGCTCTTGCACTTGACTGAGTGTGATGTCTATAAGCCATCTTTCTAAGAAGTTTTAATGCTTGGCTTATATTCTCTAAAATAGTAAATTGTACTAGTTTTATTCCTGGACTGTTTACAGTCCAGTTCCTATTAAAGTTGATGCTGCTTCAGCAAGAACAATTAGTTGAGGAAGTGGGGACACATCCCAAAAGACAATCTTACTGTGAATCTGCATATGTGTATTCAGTGTCATGGTAGACACAGCTCACCTTGTAATTGTGAAGGGATGCCATATCAATTGCTTTTTACATCGAATTTTTTTTAGTTGGTGAAATATAATTGGCTAAAATCAAGTGCATCTCTGTAAGTCACTGCACTTTTTTGACCAGTAACAGTTGAAGTGAAGTGGGACTACTCTTTGATTTTTTAAAATAATGAATTAATTGTAGGCTGCTTAATTAATATTAAATTTTATTTCTCTTAAATCTGGTTGAGGAAATAAATATTGTAAAGGATGCTTTCTGTGATGTATCATCATCAACTAGCTAATCATGTTGTCTTCATCTCATTCTTTTTAGCACCCTGCAGGTACTTTCTAGGAATGATAAGTGCACCACCTAGCTTAAGGGAGATCCATTGAAGGGGGAGGCTTGGGGACCTGTTATATTCCACTATTCATGATCACTTCTTTATATCAGGATTAAAACATTCACTATCTTGATTGATTAATCAAATTGGCTGCCATAGGTTTAGTTAGTTTCACTTCTATTGTGAGTCATAATTAACTTAAAGAAGTACAGCATCATGTGAATTAATTTTAGCAGCTCAAAAACTTTTAGGGAGTGGTATCATTCAAATGTTCTCCCTTTTTTGAGGGCATGTTGTGATATTCATTATACAAATGGAAGGCACCATCTGAATGTCATTCCTGAATAGGCAAAATGGCTTGGTGCTGCTGGAGATTATTTTTGGATAATAGGCTCAAGATGATTTTATAGTTTTCCTTACGCATCAAATTATAAGCTACATCAATTTTACGGCAGCTCTTTCCTGCTCTAGTGGAAATTGACTTGAAGGTGTGAACCACAGGCATGGGCAATGGCTGAATCAGAACTGGGATCTTTGTTTGTGGGTAATATTCCCCCTCAGACCACTGAGGTGGAACTGAGAGATGCGTTCTCCAACATTGGTCCTATCAAGCGGATTCACTTGACTCAACCCAAGAACCGAGGTCACAGTGCTCCACAAATTGCATATGTCACCTATGCCCTGCCAGATGATGCAACAACAGCTCTTGAAAAGTTCTCCAAGTTGACCTGGCATGGAAGCAAACTGCATGTGAAGGTGTTGAAGAAGCGAAAGGACATTCAGCATGAGAAGGAGCAGGCAATAAAAGCAAAGAATACTCCAAATAGAGAAACCAAGACGGCTAGGCTCATCATTCGTAATGTTTCCTTTAGAGCAAAGAAGACACACCTGAAGAATCAATTTGAAAAATATGGTCCTGTTACAGAAGTTATGATATTGAAGAAGAGAGATGGGAAAAGTGTTGGCTGTGCATTTGTCCAGTTTCACAGCGTCCATGATGCAAGTCGGGCATTGAAGGAGTTGAATGGCACGCTTCTCCTTGGGCGACCCATTGCAGTTGACTGGGCCTTGCCAAAGTCTGTGTATGAGCATCGTTCCCGTCAAGATCATCAGTCTATAAAAAAAGAACCCTCCTCTGTCACCGAACCTACTGAAGTTCCTGATGACTTGGATGATGAAAGAGTTTTGGACGTTAAATCCCAGGTGTTGCTGAAAGAGAACTCAGAGGGGTCAGAGGACGAAGTTGAAGCAGATGGAGAGGGAGAACTGCATACAGGTGATGATCATGATGAGAATGACCTCCAAGAGAGTAATACTCAGAAACCTATGGCAGAGCAGAGGAAGAAGAGAGTGGGAGTATCACGTGATGTTAAAGAAGGCCGCACCATATTTGTGAGGAATCTCTCCTTTGAGACAGAAGAAGACGACCTTGCCAACCTCATGACTCAGTTTGGTGAAGTCAAATATGCCCTTATCTGCATTAATCCTCTGACAGAACATCCAAAAGGAACAGCATTTGTGCAGTTCAAGGATTCAGAAGCAGTAGAGAAGTGTTTGAATCATGGGGAAGAAATCTACCTTGATGGCAGGTTGTTAGATGTGAAGAAGGCTCTCGATCGTCAGACTCTGGATGAGAGGAAACCGGAAAAGAAGGGAAAGGATTCACGAAACCTTTATCTCCTCAAAGAGGGCAGGGTTAGCAGACATATGGACAGCAGGAAAGATATGTCTCAGCATGATCTGGATCTGCGGCACAGGTTAGATTCACGCAAGGCAATGTTCATTAAGAAGAACCTCAACATGTTCATCTCGCCCAATCGCCTTTGTGTTCACAACATCCCAAAGAATTACAGTGATAAGGACCTGAAAAAGCTGTTCATTGAGTATGGAGGTCCTGGTGCAAAGGTGACAGAGGCACGAATTATGCGGAACCTGAAAAAACTTGATGCCAATGGAATTCCTGAATCCAAGGGTTTTGGGTTTGTTGCATTCTCTCAGCATGAGCATGCTCTGGCTGCTCTTCGTGGCCTAAATGATCATCCAAATGTGTTCTCTGAGCACCGCAGGCCGATTGTGGAATTTTCAGTTGAAAATCGTGAAGCTCTGAATGCAAAATTACGGAGAGCAGAACGTTCCCGAGCTGCGCTTATAGCAAGAAAAAATAACATGGGAAAGGAAGGGGTATCAGAAAGCAGGACGGTGGAGAGGAAAGATGAAAAAAGTTTTATTGAAGCTAAGAGGTCAATGCCTCTCCCCAATCCAAAGGGGAACAAAAGAGTTATGAAGCAAAAGGGCCCCTCCGCAGAAAGGGGTGCCATGAAGCCATCTCCAATGATAGAATCCCAAGGAAAGTTTCCTGTGCCGTCTAACGGATTAAAGATAAAACAAAAGCAGGAACTAATTAAGAAGCCTGCTAACTATAACACTAGAAAATCCCAGAACTTCTCTCAAGGAGAAGTTCTCATTCAAAGTCAGAGAGCTTTTGAAAAAGAAATGCAGCAGAAGAAGAAGAGGAAACTTCAAACCTTGACTAAGAATCAGGGGGCTCATTCCAAGGAACCCAAATTTGAAAGAGAAGTAGAGAGTTTTCAGAGGATGGTTGATGCATATCGAGTACAGTTTGAATCAGTTCCTGAACAGAAGAGGAAGAAGTGGTATGAGTAGCATGGCTTTGTGTCTCACAGCTCTCTGCCTTCTTTTCCAGGTTTATTTTTTTTTTGGTGCACGTTTATGGCGTGTTGTGTGGCTGTGATTGGAAAAGACAATTCTCCCTTGTACATACGTGTGTCAAACCCCGAGACTGAGTTGTACCTCCATTTCACAGTCCATTCATCTCTGGACGTAGTGGAAGAGCGGGTGAATTCCCTGGCAAAGTCAAGCGTTGGGGACATTAGGGAGCTGTATCTTGGACTCCTTTATTCATCAGAAACCCACCGTGTATATGGTTATGCCACAAACACCAAGGTGAAGTTCATCATTGTCCTAGATGTTTCAAGGGTCCAGAACGTGAATGAAAACGAACTGAGGTCTATGTTCCGCCGGATTCATTCTGCTTATGCTGATGCCATCTGCAACCCTTTCTATATCCCCGGGGATCAAATTGATTCGACTAAGTTTGAAGCCATCATATCTGAAATCCTGCTGTGACTGTATATGGAAGTGGTAAAAGATAACTGTGCATATTTGAGCAATTACGAAGTCCTTCAATTGCTCAAAGAAGTGAACACTCTTGACAGCAAGCAGAATCGGCAGGTGAACCTTCGGACAGTCGCTTACGAGGCATCCAAGTATCTTGAAGGGACTCCGTGCATACATCAATCTAAAGAGCAGATTCAAAAGCTGATGCAGGCCTTGGTGCCATACAACCTGACAAAGATCGAAAAGCTGCAGATCCTGAATTCGTGTCCAACTACCCCAGTTGAAATTCAGTTGATTGTGGAGGATGCAGAGGAGCGTTTGACAGAGGAGCAGGTGAATGGGATTCTGAAAATAATTGCTGATTCCATTCCCATTCCTCGGCCAACTGGTGAATCCGAGTCTGACGGAGGAGCATCCAATTGATTCCTGAGTAATTTACCTTTCCTATCTCAAATTTGCCTTTTATTCCCCTCCTTTGTCAAGCCAAAAGCATTAAGTATTGTTGCGCCCTTGGATGTATGGTGACTTGGTGTAATAGTAAAAAAGGTAAACAATCAATAACTACTGTTATTGATAGAACATTCATGTATTAAACCAAAAGCAGTTTTTCTATTTGAGTAGGGTTTGGGTCATTCCACGCCAAACCAACAAATGACGTTGCCGACCTGTTCCTCATATCCAGATATATTCAGTAATTAAAAAAAATCATGTATATATACGTGAGAAACCTCAAAATCCAAAACAGCAATTCTTTTATCATGTCAAACCCTCGAATATCCGGATACCTAGGCTTTCCAGGTCCTCAAACCCCTGCTTTATCTCTGTAAGTATGGCAGCTAGCAAATTCCGCAATTGCACATTTTACGCCAATGATCGAAGTTGTATCTAGAAAAGGATTGGTGAGTCATAGCAATATTTAAACTTGAGATTTTACGTAAAAGTTTTGGGAGTTTATTTTGGCATAGGCCTAGTAGGGTTGCTTGGAACTGGACCAAAGTTTGTATGTCATCTCCCACTCACCCTCGCCTTACACACGAAAGCAAATGTTGTTCCCATCGTTCCTGTTACGATTAACTCTTTTGGCAATTTTCATCTGCAAAATATTTCTGTCATGGAGAATTTTCCGAAGAAATGTTTGTGGCATCACTAGCTCCTGTCTTTTGTGAGTAAAACAACGCCCGTTTGAATGAGTTTTAGGAACGTGTTAAGTTTTTTATGCTTCCAAGGAAACAAAATGGTGGCAGGCCTCCAACACATAGTTCTGAAGCATATTTATTCAGGTAACTTTTGGAAGCGGAGCACATTTCAGCTTTCAGCAGGCGCAGGTTTAGAAAGGTTCTTTTGATGATATTGCGGTCGTTGTGGGTGATAGTATTGGGACGCGGAGGCCACTTGAAAGTCTTTGAGCTTGCTTGTGTAAATATAAAGAGTGGCCCATAAGTAAGTTGACCCGATTATTGAACCAAATTTAAAAGTTTTTTGCACTTTGAGCCTATGAGCCATTTCAGCAGTAAACAAATACGGCCATCAGCAGGATCTAAAAACAAACAAGGATAAAATCATGTAAGTAAAAAAAAAATTAGGTTAAGGAGAAATTTGTATAGCTGAAAATCCTTTGGTAAACTTGGCGGTATAACTTCCTACAATTGTATATTGTGTAGATCTATACTTACTGGCGCCGTGACACTAACAGTGACCCCATCGGTGATGTCGCAGACCTCTTAGGGCTTTCCCAGGGTACCGGTGTACGTCATAGTTAACTACCACCCAGTCGCGAAGAAACGCGAATCCACTTGCGCGGAACGACATGCTGACTAGTCATGTCACTGTTTGTGAGTAAATCCGTCAGCGCTAACTTGAAATCAAAGTTTAAGCGTTGAAGTAACTGATAAAAAAAAACGTAGTTGTTTCGAAGTGAAATGTAATTCAATCGAAAAAGTAAGAGATTGCCACACCATTTATAAAGTACCCGAGGCGAGCGATAGCTATGGAGGCAGCGATCTTATTTTATTTTGATGTTAATTTTTTTCATTGTACCTCCTTAACACGTTTCCAGAACTACCCCGAACAGATGTTTTACTCAAACGGCAAGAGCCAGTGATGGGGGCAAAGAAGTTTAGTCTTTAAGTTTCCCACTTCGGAAAATTTGCTGATAAAACTTGTCAAAACGTGAATTTTTGCATTTCAACCGGAATTTCTCTTAGTAAGAATGATGGAAACGTCATCCGCTTTGGTGTAAAGGACGAGGGGTGAGCCGGAGATGGCATACCAACTTTTAGAATCTGAGGTTCCTCATTTAGAGTTTTCTCTATGATTTTTACTGAAAATAACTGCGACAGGTCGGCCACATCATTTGTTGGTTTGGCGTGGAATGACCTGAACTGATTAAAAAATTATCACTCTGAGAAATTGTATGATGCAACTTCACATAGATATAGTTCTAGATTTTCAACACTTTGCAGGCAAGAGCTTCGTTTGAAATAGTTCACTGGTACAGTATAATAAATGTTTAAATTTATGAATGCATTTATGAATGGTAATGAAAAGCTTTGCAAGCAGAGGAGGCTTGAGTTCAATAAGTGTCTTAGTGAATGGTGGCCTGCTCTGTGAGTGCCTCTCTCCTCATTTTGTGACTTATGTATTTCACAGATTTGAAACACTTCTTCCCTCTGCTTGGAGACAATGAAGGAACGCATTGAAGGGACAGCCCCGGCACCTACCACACGTCCCAAAACCATTTACCAGTGGAAGACAGATGATGTTGAAAAGTGGTTGTCACGCCGATGCCCAGAACTCGCCTGTCAATATGGAGGTGCTTTTCGACAGCACGAGATCACTGGTCGTGCACTGGTTCACATGAATGAGGGCTCACTGCTTCAGTTGGGAATCACAGACCTTGAGGGATGCAGTGCTATCTGGCGGGAGATCCTCAAGCTTCGTCTGAAGACTGATATCCTTGAAATGAAGGAGATAGAAAACAGCAAGCAGTGGAACCACTGGCGGATTGACTCTTGAGACCAGGTGATATTCTGTATTATGAACACGTTCGCAGTTATGTTGAATCAAGTCTTTTTTTGTTGCAAATTTGGTATGAGGATTAAAACTTGTGCATAGTGTGTCCAATTCACTGTGTTCATTTATTCAGGGACATGAAAATGTCCATTTAATAGATCCTTAGGTGCACCTAATAGCTCAACTTCTCGATAAATTCAGAGACTGAGTCATCTGACGCGCTAGTTCTGTGTGAACAGCTCATTTCCTTCTCTAAATGATCTGATCCGGCTTGGGAAATGTTCAGTCCTTGTACCTATACAAGTTCTCCTGCATGTAAAGAAAATGTACGCAACTATTGGGCAAGATTTGAAGCTATAGGCCCGAATGCTGAAACCTCATTTAACCCTTTAATGCATGACGTAGCAGATGTTCAACAGTCCGGTCCTTATACTGTACTTAGCAACTATGCGGGCCCTAGGTGCCATACACTCCTTGTGGCAAGCAAATTAAAACCAATCTGGTTTCGTCGTATGGCAGATTGACGTTTTTGATTTAATTTTCTTAAACTTTACGCTAGTCAAGGGTCCAGGCTCATCCGTGTTTTGACATTTTCTTTTGTGTTGAGGTATGTACGAATGTTGACGGACCGACTGAGCTCTCTAGCATCCATGCAGCATGGGTTAGAAAGTTGAAAATGCTGTTTGTAGCAAATGAGCAACAATAACATTTTCGGGCCTACTGCTTACAAATTTTTTTTTTTCCACTTGACCCGTGTTCTAGGACGTGAGTGAAACCTACCAGATTTTTTTCGCCGAAAAAGAAAAAAATCATACATTAAAGGGTTAAACCTTTCAAACCTGAATTAAGTCCACCATTGGTATAATATACTTTTTTTGAATTTTGAGCTCTTTTCCTATTCTACTTTTTATGTTTTTAAGTTTTTATGTTCTATAAATCGTTTTTATATTTTGTATAAATTTACCATATCATACCATATATTATGAAAGTAATTACATAACTGAAAATTACCAAACTGACGGGTGAGAGAAGGCCTCCCACGGAATTGAGCCATGCATAATTACGTCCATTGTACTGCAATATGGGGTGCAGCAACGTCGATTGGAATGGACGCGGAGTCTGAAAGGGTTATGGGAGATTAAGGGGTATTTGAGCTAAAAAGCTCTTTTTTCCCCCATAGGAGTCTATTTATACTTAAATGACCGTTAACTAAAGGAGGTTCCAGCATTCGGGCCATAGGGTGGATTGCATAAAACTTACTTTAGCGTAATGGAGCTTTAAGCCTGCTTTAGCGGAGCTAATGGAGGTTGGAAGTCCTGAATTAAGGGTTTAAATCTCTTTCAGTCCTGAATTATGTTCTAGGCATTGAAAAAATGTCGTATACTTTTTGGGCGTCAACAAGGCTCATATAAAATGGAAGTGCTTTTAAAATTGTTTCCTTGAGTAAAATACATATTTATTAAATTATTTAATTTTAATTAATAAACTATGATATTTAATTAATTCAACTAGTACTCATATCCCGGTTTTACGTCGTATGTTTCCCAGCATTCCTGTACTACTTTCCATTATCTACCTTGCAAAAACATAGAAAAATTGGCTGGGAAAGAAATGTGTTAGCTGAAATAAGTGCAAAAGATGACACCATTTTTGAAGTGGCAGAGGAAATACAGTAGCTTCATATTACTGTGGACTGCTGTCAACTTGACAACATCGGGTGAACTACTATAAACTGTGACTCAGAATCCTGCCATTTGCCTCAAGGTCGTGCATTCCTATGTAACCCTGTAAAATATGCGATGAAAATGCAGGATTGGACAGAAAGGACTGAAAGGCTTAAACGTGTGGATAGGGAAGAAGCACTAACAGCTTCACATTTCTGGAGGGCCGTCTTTGTTAATGTGGACGGTATTGAATTTGCCATGCAAAGGCATGGAGTATCGGAAGCTGCTGTTAAACTACGGCTCTACAAAGCGACGGAAGACCGACCGGCCCGCTTTTGACCAGTCACAATCGCCAGGATCGCCTTGCTGAGCAAATTCCATCATACATCGACTTCTGGACTAGGATTCTGGGATTTTCACGAATGAGAGACATTACTTCCTGTGGGTTGTGGGAGGACGACGGTAGGGAATGGTTTCAAAGACGGTCAGACGTTTCAGTTCAAACTGCATGTTTGGGACCGACTGCCATTTGGAGAGGGAGTGATGATTTGGGGTCACATGAATACAGAACTTGGTATTTCAAAGTGACTAAAGGTACAGCCAATGGCAAGGAGTATATTCCTCATTCTGCACAACTTTCTTATCCGTCTATTCATCTTGGGTATCGAAGCGACTTCATTCTCCAATATAACGATGCCAGCTCTCGCAGGGTAGCAATAGTAGAGGAAGCCAAAAAGTAAACATTTTTACACTTCTGACCTGCTCGATTCCATTGAGTTCCTCTGGAATGACCCCCGGCCGGGGTCATTGGTCGACTGGCCGAAGAACCACTGTTTCCACCAAGGCTTTTGGATACAGAGTTTAAGCAACTCTCCCCGAAAGAGAACCCTGGGAGCGGCTGCCAGATTTCACTTGCATCTCTTGTTGCCCTGCTGTACGCTGTACGAGCTGTAGAAAAAGGCACCGTGAATAACTTTCTGTTCGCGACGATTTGGCTTTCTCCTCATCCTGTGGATATCTTTCATACCTGCTGATGGCTATTTCGCTGTGATTGGGGTTTTAATGACCTATCTCTGCAGCTTTGGGAGAATCACAGGGACGCCGATTGTAAATCTTTCCGTATGGCTCCTAGTGAGGGCGTAGTAAGGGACCGGAGGGGGGGGGGGAGGGATGGCACATCCCCCCCAACTTCCCAACCTTCCGCTTTCGAAAAAGTTCATATGCCGAAGCTTTTGCCTGATAAACGGTGAATCTCCGTGCTGTGAGATTCCCATAGGGCTGCATAATGAATACGTTAAATATTGATATATTCCTAATGCAATCCAAGCAATCGCAGCTGCATTGCATATTTCGACACCTTGAATCACCGAGCCATATATTTGAGCGGCAATAATGCAAATATGCTTCTCGCACTTCCTATTTAAATAGTATTACTGCCGAATACAGGAAAAGCGTAGATATGACCTTGTAAGCGCACTTGTTTTAGACCTGATTGTGTCAGGACACAGGGATCGCAAGAAAAGGAAGCGAAATAAGGGTGCAAATTAAAAAGTAAAGCAAAGCTTTCTTTGATAACTTCTTCACTCTTACAGAGACTACGAAAAGTGAGACAAGGATAGCTCACTCCCATTCTTATGTTTTTGGAAGTTCAGTGTGTCGTTTTCTACAGCGTCCTTTTCGACCCAGTTCATTTCTAAATCCCACTCACAATTGAAACAATTCTAGTTTATTCTGCACATTCGTAATAGAACTTACGTTGTACGTGAAGAAAGTTCGGAGTACCCAATGCCTCATCTACAACTGGCAGCAGGCAGGAAATTTATTAATTCTCATCTGTATAAACTGTCGAAGAGATCTGAAGAAAAAGTATTGTCAAAAAGTACAATATGGAAATGATGGCGAGTGTCGAAATATCAACGATTCGAATTACGTCTGGTAAGCGAGTCCCTAGGCACTTTCTCTCATAGTAGCGAAACATGAAAGTCACTTGATCTCTTTATCTACAGGTCTTGGTTTCCAACAAGACCAATCTGGCAGCCCTTTTTTTGTGCCTATGACATGCAACACTCGCCAGAAGGTGACGGAAGGCATGCTATTTCAGTTACAGCCTGTTTTCAAAGGCGAAAGGAGAAAACGTCTTGCATAGATCGTTTTGTTCTTGCTTCGGCTTCTTTGGCCAGCATTGTTACTAGTGAGTGTATTAATGACACTAATAATATGTTGGGAAAGTATGAAACTATATTGTGGTAGCAGTGGGGGCCTACTCTACATGCTCGTACGCAGAGACAAATAGTCGACTCGTTAATTTCATCGTGCAATTCTTCTTTTTGGAGGGTAAGTATGTGTGTGGTAGTTTTCAAGTAAGTGTGGATCAAGGACATGCCCACCTTATTTGGGATTTAGAATTAGCTGTAAAGGGTCCGCCTGATGTCGCCTGCTCCTCAGCTACTTCCAGAGGATAGAAAAGACTCGACAGACTGAATATGATATTATTTCAGTCCAATTCATTCAAAAGACTTCTGGGGAAGATGGAAGAAACGCATGTTTGTGTTCTGAAAAAAATCAACACCCAATCTCCAGCTAAATCAGACTAGGACAGATAGTTGACCCAAAACGAACGAGATCCGGAATACGGGTCATCATCATTACGAATATGTTTTGTGTAACTGTGATTCAATACCACCACACCCTTGACCAAGCACCAACCTTTCCTGGCTTCCTTTCTACCTCTTCGATCTTCTGAATTTTTGGGCGAGGTAACGAGGAAATCCATGACTAGTCTTTGGCGTATTCTGAATTGAAAAAAGCAGATATCGTATTTGGTTGTTGAGGGTCCCAGCTATACAAAAGGAGGAATTTTTCATGATTCAGTCAGAGATTGGGTGCTATATAACTGCTATTTAAATAAAAAAAAGCAATAAAAAATGGCGTTCAATCAGATTCCTTAAGCAAGAATTTCCTGTGCTGAAAGTAGATGTCGGTCCCAAGGGGGGCCTCCAAAGGGCCTCAAGGGGGCCCCCAAGGAGTCTCCAGTTTAGTTTTGCCTCGGGCCCCTGGAAACCTCTGGGTGGCCCCGGCAGGTGGTGAACTCTTGAAAGCATGGTGTGTTAGTTATTCCGCAGATGCTAGCGTCGTCTTCCCTCAGTGCCTGAATACCTCCTTCCTACATTTGCATCGAGAAATTCTCCTTTTCCCAGCAGGACAAATTTCAGGCACTTTCTTGATTATGTGAGAAATAAGGCCGAGGAATAGAGCAAACCTCGTTTCATTAGAGATCCCACTATTGGAGTTTTTTATTACATTCATATGGATGGGCACCAGGCACAAATGCGCTCAAGA